TACCAGTACTGCTAGTGCTACCATCACTGCCACCACTGCCACGGCGATTACTACTACTTCTACTACCACCAACAACACTACTGCTGCTACTGCTACTGCTACTGCTGCTGCTGCTGCTGCTGCTTCTTCTACCACGGCGACTGCAACGACTGTTGCAACTCCGGCTGCGGTTGCGGCTACGACTACGACCTACGACTACGCCTGCTACCACGGCTCTGTGGAACAAAGGGGCATTGGGTGGCTGCGGCAGCAGTGTTGGGGCTGGTTGAGTTTCAGTGTTTCGGTGCTTACGGAAAACAGTTTTTGTTGCTTGTGCTGTTCTGGTGCCACGTACCTTGGCAACACAACCTCAAAATCGCTTAGCTGCATTTTCCCCTGTCCCGAGCGGCATTGTTGGGGATGTTTGAACAAGTATGTAGCAACCACGCAACGTTTTGTTTTTTTTTTGGATGCGGCTGTTGCAGGTTACAACGGCTGGGTGTCGGCCTGTTCGACAATGAGGCCACACGATTGTTGCATGCCTCCCTGCGGGTTGGAATCAGCAACTCAAAGTTGTGAGCCTTACTACAATGAGCTTGGTCGTCTTGTTTGAGTTGGCATGGATGATTTTGGCAGGTGGCACTTGAAATTGCAGTGGGGCAGAGGAACCCAATGACATTGGTGGCCTTTTCGCGCACATCCTGTCCTCCAACAAAGTGGTTCGGTGGGTGCGACGTGTTTCGGCATGTGTTGGTATCACTTCTGCACATCGAATCTTGAATGTATCAAATCGTTTCATTCGAAGCCCATCCTTGTTCACATGCTAGGTGACAGGAGATGCTGTTTGTGCATTGCCCACTCCTGTTCGCCCATTTCGGCAACCTCGAGCAAAAGATGCCGGTGTCGCAGCAGCCGCGGTCGCTTGACAGTTGCGTTTTTGTCGGGTGACATTAAGATTTTGCTGTAGGTTTTTTTTCGTGCGCCAGTGTTTAGGTGTGATTCGATCGTCAGGTGGCATCCAAACCGCAGGAAAATGCGCACGCATCTTCACCAGACCAGCGGAATTCGATGACCCGGGTGTTAGATGTGGATGCTCGCCTCACCTCATTGTGTTTTGTTCCAAAAAGCATTTGATTTCGAGTTTGTTGCATTACAGACTTGCTTTGTAAGGACACGATCCTGGATGTCAAAATGCCGGTTTCACGCAGGTTGGTGCGGAGCAAGTACATTGTCATCTCTGTCGAGAGTGTGTATGGTTCGTGTTTGTGTTGGCGTTTGTGAGGCGCCGCCTGGGCTGCCGTGGGCCGGAAGTTGGACCTGTATCATGTTGAGTGGCCGACGATGCTGATTTTTAGCCATAGTTTTTTAAATCTGTCTCCTGAGATGATGTAGACGCTTGGAAGGAATTAGATGCATTGGAATGCCATATGCATGTAGATTTAGCTTCGTAGCACAGCATCCGACGAGCGCAGGGCAATGCATGAAGCGACTGTCAGCGAAGCAACCAAAAAAGGGCGTGCTTTGCAATTCGATCTTGGTGTGTGATGATTGCATCAGGCAGAGGATGAGGGCATCCCGAGCACTGCCCGGCCTTCAGCAACGGGTGCAGACTTCGAGACGATCGCACCAGAAGCATAACACCCCTTTTCGTGGGGGTGTTGATGATTTTGTCATGTGTCTCCAGCCGTGTGCGCGGCGGTGGTCCTCGAGAACAAGCAGCTGTGCACTTTCAACATGGCCACTCACTGTCGTGTTCTGGCTGCGGCGTTGCTTGTGTTTAGAATGAAGTGACCATGGCCTACAACAGAATCCTGCACCTGATGCTGCACAAGAGTTGCAGCATGCTGCCTTTTTCGAGGCCATACGAGAGATCTCGCTTCTGAAAGAGCTACAGCACCCCAACATTGTCAGGCCTGTGTGTTTGCTTCTGCGTTTTTTACAGACAAGCAGCGTTTTCGACCCTTCCGCTTGAAAGGCTTTGTGACGTGATTCACACGGAACGAAAGTTGACGCTGGTGTCCGATGCTCAGGGATGCCACTTTCTTTTCAAGCTTTGTTGCTCTGTTGCTGAGGTTTAAGCATGGCTTCTGTCCTCAATGCCCTAAACCCTAGACTTTCTTCTCAGGTTCGAGTATTTAGATCAAGACCTCAAGAAGTTGCTGGACATGTGCGACGGTGGCTTGGACCCTGCAACCACCAAGGCTGGAAGAACCACAGCATTTGAGGGTTCAGTGTTTTTGGTTCATGCTTTAGAGTTTCGTGTTGCAGTTCTTGTGTTCAAGTGTGCTCGAATGACAATCCGTTTTTTGTGAGAGTGGACAAGGCTGAAGACTGCCGAAACGCGTGCAGAGAATTTTGTCTGTTGTATTTCTGCCTGGCCAGTCCTTCCTGTATCAGCTTCTACGAGGTATTGCGCACCTCGGCACTGAGAAAGTAGTTGAGCTTCCGTGTAGCACGACACACATGGACTGTTTCCGATTGCCCGTGCTTTGGCTTCGCAGCTTCATGTCGCAGCGATCCCCCCTCTCCCAATGCAATCAGCCAGCTTTTTTTAAACCCTAAACCCTGTCAGACTGCCATTCCAAGGTATTGTCATGCGCATCGGGTCCTGCACCGGGATCTGAAGCCCCAGAACCTACTGATCAATAGGGCCGCGCCCTCACAGTCGGAGTCATCAGAAAAGTGGGGGTTTCCGAAAAGAGGGGACCCTGAGATAAGTACCCTAAATCGTAGGATCCTGGTTATAAGGACCCCAAATTAAGGTACCCCTGATTTTCGGAAACTCCCAATTGGTCTCTTTCAGAAAGACTGTTTCTGCTGCTCTGTGTGCTTTGCCGCTCGAGGAAGGCTCGCTCAAGCTAGCCGACTTTGGTTTAGCACGCGCTTTCGGCATCCCTGTGCGGACGCTTTGCTGCAAGGCCGAAAGTTTAACCCTGCATGACAGTTGCATGGGAGCAACACATGTTGCAAGCTCAGCAGAGGCTGCAATTCTGTTTACTTTTGTCACTTGTTGTCCTTTTCGAGAGCCGTGACCGTGTGTGCGAGCCGAGTTGAACAGACCACTTCTAGAAATCATTGCAGAGGAAGCCCCTAAGCCCTTCCCCCTGAAGCCATCGACTACATAACCAAAGCTCAAAATCAGCTGAGGAGCTACACGCACGAGGCCGAGGGGCCGGCGAGAGCTTGGCGGGGGTTTGTGGCTCTGGTCATGCGAATCTGTCGTCTCTGAATTAAAACCACAGCACTTTGTCAAGCACAGCTGTAGCAGACATGGTTTGTGGCGTATGCAACCCTCTTGGAGCCTCCCCCAAGAGCCACCAAACCATCAGTGCATACCCAGAGTCTGCCCACACAGCTCACAGAACCAAGCTTTATCTGCTTATCTGCAGGTTGTGACTTTGTGGTACCGGGCGCCTGATGTCCTGATGGGTTCTCGCAAGCTTCCACCTCAGAAGCACTCGGAAAGCTCGGAAAGCTGCGGGTCACTGCTTCGAACGGTTCCTCCGGGGGGAGGTACCCGGAGAGCCCAACACCTCTTAGTTGAGGAATATACCGCAATATACTTTAAACCATGATACTATGCCCCTTAAAATGTAAGATATATTCCTTAATTAAGGGATATTGGGCTCTCTGGGTAGGTTTGTACAGGTCTCTTGGGACTCTGCAGCCCATCTGAGCCATGCAAAGACGGCACTGCATGGACTAGAAGCTACTCTTGGGCTGAGGTATTCGACACCTGTAGACATCTGGTCTGTCGGATGCATCTTCGCAGGTGGAACTTGTCTTGGGATGCCGACTGGACATGATGTTTGGCTTGAGGCTTTGGTTGAGTCCTCTCGCGTTATGAAGTGATGAAGGGCGAAGTAGAATTCAGCAAGTGCTTGAGGAGACTGCATCCATGCCTAGAGCCGTCCATGTTGGCAAAAGAGCTATGATGCAAATTGCAGGAGTACGAAGCATTGTAGGTCGTGCCTTCCAGGCCATTAGGCACTCCCTCCAATTCAGAAACACCGCAAGCTCCGCCAGAAATGGTCAATGGTCGCCCTCTGTTTCCTGGCGACACAGACGCGAACCAGCTTCAGAAGATCTTTAAGGCCTCATCCCTTGTGTTCTGGTCAAGGCTTGTCTGGCCAGCATGCATGCTTGCGAGTGAAACAGCTCCAGCTGGGTTTTCTGGCTTGCAGTTTCCAGGGGGCTTTGGACAACGCAGCGATGTTGAAAGCAACGCTTGTGCTTGGCCCTAAACCCTAAACCCTAAATCTTGATTGCTGAAGCTGCCAGATCCTTGGGACTCCGTCAGAGTCTACTTGGCCGACAATCACAGAGCTTCCGGACTGGAAGCCCGACTTTCAGCAGCCGCCCTGGCTCGCTTGCTTCGTGGTTTCTCCTTCGTCGCTTACATGTAGGTAGTTTTCTAGATTAAGGCCGCTTTCAGGTTCCTTTTCATAAAGAGTGCAGGACCAAACAGGGACCCTAATAATTACCCATGTGGGTTGTTAGCAGTGAAGAGCAGGATCGCATGGTCAGATGAGAGGTTGCAGGGCTGTGATGCCTGCCCTGTTGACTCTGTGCTGCAATCCCATGCCCCTTGGAACATGCCTCTGTGCGTAGGAAGGGTGGTATGCAGCAGTGTCTTGCAAGCAATTTTGCTCTGCATCAACGAATCCTGGCACCTGACAAGGCATGCGCAGGCTCAACCCCGTCGAAACCCAAATCCCAAGTTTGCCAATCACGGGTGCCAGGTTCGAGCCTCAGGCCTGGAAGAGCATTGCGCCAAACCTTGATGCTGGGGCCCAAGTCTTGGGGGTTTCCGAAAATAGGGGACCCTAATATAGTACCCTAAATAATAAATTCCCTACTATAAGATCCCCAAGATAAGATACCCCCTATTTTCGGAAACTCCTAAGTCAAGATTTGATTGCTTGGTCTTGGGAGCTTCAGGAACTGCGCCAGGAAGAGTTGCACGGTGAAATACCTGTCGGTTTAGTTTTCGCCGTTGTCCGGCTGCAGTCTCCCCTGTTGAGCTCAGGGGATTGTGACTTCGGGTTGAAGCTATCAAACAGAATGAACTTTTCTCGGCGAAAATTTTGGGATCATTTCTTGGTGAGAGACATGCACTGCGACCACCCTGCAACTCGCTTTCGAAGACCGTTTAGCCCTATGCCGATTCGTGCTGCCCCGAATCCAGCACTTCCTCTTCTCCAAACACGCAAACTTGAACCACAATGGGACAGACCAACCCAATTTATACGTAAGCATACATCCACACACCCACTCACACGTTTGGTCGTCGGATGATCGTAGGTAAGTTCGTGACAATTTTGTATTCATGTCGCACTACTTAACTTGCATGGCTATACGACTTTTGTTTCCAGCAGAGCGGTGCGGTATCCGTGGCTGCACAACCAAAACCGCAAGCAGGATGTGCTTAACGAGAATCACTTCGAGGGACTCTAAGTACAGGTTATGTTCAGTGATTCCAGGATGTTTTGGGATCAGCCAAACAAATTTTGCATTGTTCGTCATATTTTGTTACATTTTCATTGGATGTGATATTGACATTCGTACAGAAAAAATGCGAGATTAACTGAGGCAGAAGTAGCAACATTAAATTTCGTTTTCAGGCCACTTTCTAGACAACTACATCAGCATTGCTGGCATTGCTTGCTGTTCGCCGTTGGCCACTGGCAGTACCGGAAGGAAAGTCACGTCTCTTACCCAAATCGCTTCGACCATGCGCATTCTTGGCAGTGATTTGCATTGCAGCTTAACATAGAGCCAGCAGCACGATAAGTCGTTTATTTGCAGGGTATTCTTGGCTAGTCCAGGGTGAAGAGGATAGTGGTGCCACCAACAGGGCACAGATTGTTTAGTATCTTGAAGAAGTCAGCTTCTTAGCAACAGCATATTATGTGTATCTATCCAAAGTCCTAAACCGTAGCACGAGAAGTATTGCGGGTGGTGGTCTTCGTGGCCTTGTTTTCCAAGAAGATACACTTGTTGCAGCAACGTGTTTGAAACCAGTTGTGGCTGTGCCCAGAGAACCGAACCAGGCCGGGCAGTTATACCACAACGACACAAGTTGTGGATGTTGTTGTTTAGGGAGTTTTGGGGTATTGCGTCTTTACTTCCTTTGCTGTGGTACACCTTCTTTTGCTGTCGGGGTCGTTATGTACACCCAAAGCCAAAATCTCTTGTGGTTGCGTTAACTCACGCGATGCTACCATCCATGCATGCATTGCATTCATTTCCATGCATCCATGCATGCATCCATGCCCCAAGCCCTTGCACTGCTACAGTACACGGGAGTGCTTGCGGTTGTTGTTGATGTCACAATGCATGAAGAGATGAATGCAGAGACTGTTTGAATGCTTTCCCCAGGCGGAAGGCACGGATTTGATGTCGGCGAACCCGGCTGGCTTCAGGGCAGTGACTCCAGTGCACGATACCCTACACCCGAAACCCTTAGCCCTAAACCCGAAGCCCGAACCCTAAAGGAGGAGCTTCACTCCGACATCGCTAGTTCCCAGAGAGCTCGCTAACCCTTACGGAATAAAGTTTAAATCATGATCACAAGCCCTTTATGATTTCATCCCTTAATCAAGGGATGTTTGGCTCTCTGGGTTAGGGTCGACTTGGGGTTTAGGGTCCATGATGATGACGAGATGAACATCTATGGGTGTTGGGTGATAACCACATTGCACATTCTGCTTCCAAAGCAACATGTATGTGAGTAGTTTGTTGATACCTGCATTTTCTGGCACATGCTGTAAGAGTGCTGCGAACAATATCTGCAATGCTGCAACATTTGCGAAAGATTGACATTCCTGAAATTGAAGACCGCCTTTCCCCCCCCCCACTCACGGTTATTAAGGCTTGAAGGTGTTGGGGCAGGCTTGGAGGTTCTGCGAGACTTTCAGGGTGATTGGAAGTGAGGGTTTGCATCTTTGCCTCTGGAACCGATTCTTCCTAAACCCTAAACCTTAAACCCTACACCCTAAACTTTGCCCTGAACCCTTAACCCTAAACCCCAAAACCTAAACCCTAAACCCTAAAGCCTAAATCCCTAAAACCCTAAATGGTTGCTCTAAGCACCCGACACCACTCGTCGCGTCAGAAATTCCTCCAGTACTGGCCCGACAGAAGGATATCGGGCAAGGCGGCAATGGAGCATGAGTACTTCAGGCGGGCAGTTTCCCAGAGAGCCCTCCAGATTAAGGGGGGCTTATTTTTGTATGATTTAAATTAAAGGGGTGTTGGGCTCTCTGGGTTCCGTGCTTCAGGTTCTGGAAAGGGGGTGTTGGCTCGAACACCTGCTCGGGGTTTTTCGAAGGGTGACGAAGATGACTGACAGCAGTGTTCGAATGGCCGAGACTTCTGTGGCATTGTGATTCTGGCACTTTCTCCGGAAGAGCACACCATTTAATCACCAGAAACTTCCGCTCTCGTTTTGTGTTGTCAGCTAGATCACAGGCTAAAACCGACACCAACACAAACCCTGCACCTTTGTGGAGGGGTCTCGGGGAAGCCATCAAGAACATGAAGTGAGCCCGCTGGCACTGGGCGAGCCTGGGCGCTTCAGCCTCCAATGAACCGAAATTCCCGAGTTTTACTCGGAAGAGTTCGTTTTCGAATCGTTCAGTTATTTAAGAAATAATAAGGATTTGGATACATCTTGGGAGACTGTGTTAGACATGCTCTCGAACTGTGGCATTCTTTGCCTAGAATGTCCGCCATCGCAGATCGTTTTCTCGTGCTGTCTCACATGCAGCTGTCCAGCGGATGACGAACCTATTCCTGGCCAGTGCCTCTTGCTCCTGGCAGAATGTGGGGCATGTGTTGCACCCTGCAGTATGCGAGACACAGTCTCCCAACCTTTGAGACGCGCAACACCCTAACTAGCTGTATCAAAGGCTGTATCCTTGCTCTACGAACTTCTCACACGCAGCGCATCCCACGCGCATTGAGAAAGCCACATGTAAGGTTTAGGGGTCTGTAATCACTCAGGGCCCATCTTCATGGGGAAAAGCATATGAAACTTTGAACCCTAGCTTAGTAGCTGAGTAAGTCTTTAAGTAGCCTTTAACTTTTTTGGGCTTATATATCCCTACCATTATTGGAAGGTTAACCTTTTTTGGGCTAGGATACTCACCCCCTAAGCTAGAAGGCCCTAGAACGCAAGAGAGGAGCTCCAAGAATCGATCACCAAGCTCCAGACCACTCCTGGCTTCCCTTCCTCAAAACTTCCCGAAACTCTGCCCGACACACCCTAAACCCTAAACCCTAAACCCTAAACCCTACACACATCAAAGCTGATGAATCGCGACATCTCAGCTTCCTGACTGCTAGCCACCTGAAGGCCCTCTTGCCAGACCCCCTAGGGCGACGAAGCCCTGAGGCTCTTAAACCCTAAAGCCCCAAAGCCTCGAAGCACTAAGCCCTAAAGCCCCAAAGCCCCAAAGCCAAAACGCCCTTAAAGCCCTGAAGCCCTTAAAGCCCTGAAGCCCTAAAGCCGTCAAAGGTTAAACCCGGAGACTTCGCATCCCAACGGCTCTGGCTCCAGTCCAGGAACCCCTCGGGTACCTAGGGAACTCTGTGGGGGCATCTCGGAAAGGCTCTCTTTTTTTGGGGGGGGTTTGAGGTTTAGGGTTTAGGGTTTAGGGTCCAGATTGGCTGTCGGACTTTTCGAGCCTTGGGACCTGGTGAAGGCTTGAGAAGTTCTTTCTGAGATGGTTCCGCAGCTGACCACATGAGTCTGCTGACGACGAGGCGATCGGGAGAATGTGGCTGCCTTCCTGCAGCAGCGAAGTTTCAGATTGGGCTTCGAAAGTGGAGTACCGGATTCCCGAACTCTGGATCTTTATTTTTTGCTTTGGGATTCGACTCTGGCCTGTCCCTTGGCATGCCACAGAACCGCAAGGAAGTCTTGCACTTTCTGCTTTCAACATGCTCCGGGGTGTAGCTTTAGAGCACCAGGCCGTAAACCTAAAACTGTTAAGCCGGAAGACCCCGAACCCTAAACCCTAAACCCTAAACCTTAACCCTAAACCCTAAACCCTAAACCCTAAACCTTAATCCTAATCCTAAACCCGCCCACCACCCTTCTCA